GTCTCGAACCTGCGGGCTCAGGCAATCCACTCACCTCAGCCTCCCAAAGGCACGGGATTACAGGCTGAGCCACCGAGCCCGGTCACTTGTACCATATTGAGGAGAGGCTCCGTGTTCAGCTAGGGTGGGGGGACAGGAAGGGATGCCAGAGAGGAGTGGGCCTGATCAAGGAGGCTGGTGCTGGGGAGCTCCTAGAAGACCACGTGCAGGGGGAGCCTGGGCAGGGCCAGGGCAAGACATGGAGCATTGGCAGACACAGGCAGGCAGCATTCAGTGTTGGGGCCGCAACTGCTGCACTGCGAGTCAGAACTGGGTTCAGTTCTAGCTCTTCCACTAAATGCTGTGTTACCTGGAGCAAATCATGACCCTCTCTGAACCTTGATATTTTCTTGTGAAATAAAAGGGGGTTAAATCAAATGGCTTTAAAGTCCACTTCTAGGACGAAAAGGCTCTCTCATCCCTCCTTCCAGGGTGTGCCATCCGAGGGTACTCTGCTCTCAAACAAGCACTTGCCAGCCGCCTGGCACTTCTGCCTCCATTGGCTCACTGACTAGATGAGGTGGGTCTCCTTAGACTCATTTCACAAAGGGAAAGAGGGTGTCTCAGGGAGCAGCGAGCACCTGTTTAAGGTCACACAGCCAAGGAGAGAAAGAACCAGAGGCTGCCAAGTTTCTTTTCAGGACCCCACACCTGCCTCACACCAGGCAGGCCCGGGGGAAGTCCCTCCTCAGGTGGGGGGGGGGGCAAAACAGAGGGACCAGCTCCTCCCCTCCAGCCCCGCAGGTGTGTGTGTATTGGGGCAGGGTAGGGGGGCTCCCCAGAAGCTGCTTCTCAGTCAGGCACACGCCCTCCCGCACACCCCAGCGTCTCCGCGCACATGCCTGCGCGGACCCCAGCACCTCTCCTTCCCCCGCCCTCGGCACCGCGGCTCCCTCCCCTAGTCCCGAGCCGACGCAGTGGCCTCAGGACGCGTACACGCCCCCACCCCCCCAGCGTGACGTCACGTGGGGTAGAGCCCTGAGACACTAAATGGGGGGGGGGAGAAAGGGAAGGCGGCAGAGCTCCCCGAGCCGGGACAGTCACTCACTCTCCCGGCGGTGGGGCCGGACACAGACAGCGCCCCCACCCCCACCCCAGCCGCCTCGCACGCCCTCGGAAGCCCAGCCTCCCGGCGCTGCGCTGGGGGCTCCCCGACACCCTAGCCTCGCGCCCCCAGCCCGCTGCACCTCCGGGCCCCCCTTACCCTCGAGAAGCACCGGGAGTTGTCGCAGGGGGGCCTCGGGAAATTCCCCGGACCCCTGTGCCAGGAGGTGCCCGGTTCGCCCGCTCT